AGTTGGATTATAATCTGTCCTGTGATTGGATGATCACTGTCTGAAAGTTGGATTATAATCTGTCCAGTGGTTGGATGACAGATTACAACCCAATGATCACTCTCTGACAGTTGGATTATAATCTGTCTGGTGGTTGGATGACAGATTACAATCCAACAATCACTCTCTGACAGATGGATTATAATATGTCTGGTGGTTGGATGTCAGATTACAACCCAACGATCACTCTCTGACAGTTGGATTATAATCTATGCTGTGGTTGGATGAAAGATTACAATCCAAGGATCACTCACTGACAAATGGATTATAATCTGTCTGGTGGTTCGATGACAGATTACAACCCAATGATCACTCTCTGACAGATAGATTGTAATCTGTCTTGTGGTTGGATGACAGATTACAACCCAACGATCACTCTCTGACAGTTGGATTATAAACTATACTGTGGTTGGATGACAGATTACAACCCAACGATCACTCTCTGACATTTGGATTATAATCTATGCTGTGGTTGGATGACAGATTACGACCCAATGATCACTCACTGACAAATGGATTATCATCTGTCTGGTGGATGGATCATCACTCTCTGACAGTTGGATTATAATCTGTGCGGTGGTTGGATGACAGATTACAGAAGCAGTTTCAGGCTGGATTACGCTGAGCAGGAAACAGTGGATGTTTTCTGGGATTAGTGACAGAATCAAACAAATGAATGAATAATTAATGTCAGTGTTGAAGTATGGTTCTGGCACATTCATGAATTATTTCTGTCTTTGTGTTTTACATCGTATAATTTAAYGAGACCTCTTTTATTATTCACTGAATGTTGATTTAGCTGCTCACTTATCAAAACATTAAGATGACATGGTGCTAGTGTTTGTTTTTCTAATCTTGATGTGAATATTTAACTTTACACATATATTCCCGTAAAATACATTAAACTTTATTTAATTCACACAAAATAATAATCTACTTCAGACGAGAGGCTGTTTTTTTTCTTTTTATGCTACTTTTAGCTAACTTTGCTACACGTAGTTAGCCTTTTTTAACTTTTAGATAACCTTTCCTTTAGCTTCTAG